TCTGTCTGTCCCTGAGTTTGACATTTATGTTTTTCAGGAGTTTCTGTGCAGTGTTTTCAGAAAGCCTTCAGTCTGTGCAGTCCCGCCTTTAACCTGCAGACCGCCACTCCCGGGGTAACTGTGGACTCACTGTGGACTCACTGTGGACTCACTGTGGACTCACTGTGGACTCACTGTGGACTCACTGTGGACTCACTGTGGACTCACTGTGGACTCAGCGTGGACTTACTGTGGACTCAGCGTGGACTCACTGTGGACTCAGCGTGGACTCACCCTGGACTCACCGTGGACTCAGCGTGGACTCACTGGGGACTCACTGTGGACTCACTGTGGACTCAGCGTGGACTCACTGTGGACTCAGCGTGGACTCACTGTGGACTCACCGTGGACTCACTGTGGACTCAGCGTGGACTGTGGACTGTGGACTCACTGTGGACTCAGCGTGGACTCACTGTGGACTCAGCGTGGACTCAGCGTGGACTCACTGTGGACTCACTGTGGACTCACTGTGGACTCTGTGGACTCACGTGGACTCACTCGCGTGGACTCACTGTGGACTCACTGTGGACTCACTGTGGACTCAGCGTGGACTCACTGTGGACTCACTGTGGACTCACTGTGGACTCACTGTGGACTCACTGTGGACTCACTGTGGACTCAGCGTGGACTCAGCGTGGACTCAGCGTGGACTCTTTATCGTTCTCCAGATAAACGTGTGTTTTTCAGGGGAAGCCCATCGACTTCGTGGGGGTGGACGAGAACACGGCTCGATGGGTCCAGGACTTTAACATTAAACCTTACGCCACACCGGCCAAACTGGAATCTATCGACGGTAACACTCTTTCTGTTCTGTTTTATTTATTTAATATTAAAAGTGTTTCCCACAAGTTTAGACTGAAACACAGAGGCACGAGCCGTCCGTAACTGAGTCATTTTATTCTACACAATATTTGGACAATAATGTGACTTTTTGGATTTGTTAATTAAAAAACAACCAAAAAAAATCTATAAACTATATATAAAAATAGATAAATATATTTGCTTCTTTATGTTTAAGAACAACACAACCAGTATAAAGTACAGGGTCTTTCGCAGGCCAATATAATTGTCAGTTCTTGTTGAAATAAACTCAAATGTTCACAGAATGTTTAGAAACTGATGAAGATTTTATATATAATGTTTTATTTTTGTTGTGTTTTCAGGATGAGTCGTTCTCTACCAAACAGAATAATTTTGTGTCTTGAATCTGCTGCTCAAACTCACCAAGACTGAAGCTTCAACAACATTTGGAAAAACTTCAACCACTGGAAACAAATTTAGACTTGGAACCAAAACTGTGCAGAGGAAGAATCTGAAACACCAAACTGTCACTGGAGGAATCTGGGTTTTCAAACTTGTTCTTGACACAAAATGATTGTGTTTGGGAGAGAATGACTCAACTTGAAAACACAACAAAAATAAAACAATAAATCATTCAATATCAAATCTTCATCTGTTTCTAAACATTCTGCCAAAATTTGAGGTTATTTCAACAATAATTAAAAAAGTTATTGGCCTGTGAAATGATGTCACATTTTTTGGGACTTTATTTTTAAACGATGGGGACAAATATGAGCCCGTGCGGGGCGGTGGAGTCGCCTTTATTATTGTGAAACACTGATTCATTGAACTGTTTTATTCAAGTGTAGTACTGTCATGTGACCACCAGGGGCCCGGTACCAGGTGCTGCTGATCCCAGACTGTCCCGGGGCCCCCACAGACCTGGCCCACAGCGGCTCCCTGCACCGAATCCTCACACACTTCATCTCCAACCAGAGTCAGTACGACACCTGGAGCCTGTTTGAATCATGTGAACTTGTGTGAGGTGTTCAGAGCTTGTGTGTTGTTGTGTGTTGTTGTGTTGTTGTGTTGTTGTGAGGTTGTTGTGTGTTGTTGTGAGGTTGTTGTGTTGTTGTTGTGTGTTGTTGTGTGTTGTTGTTGTGTTGTTGTGTTGTTGTTGTGTGTTGTTGTGAGGTTGTTGTGTGTTGTTGTGAGGTTGTTGTGAGTTGTTGTTGTTGTTGTGAGTTGTTGTGTGAGTTGTTGTTGTTGTTGTTGTTGTGTTGTTGTGTGTGTTGTTGTGTTGTTGTGAGGTTGTTTGTGTGTTGTTGTGTTGTTGTGAGGTTGTTGTGTGTTGTTGTGAGTTGTTGTTGTTGTTGTGTGTTGTTGTGAGGTTGTTGTGTTGTTGTTGTTGTGAGTTGTTGTTGTGTGTGTTGTTGTGAGGTTGTTGTGAGTTGTTGTTGTTGTTGTGTGTTGTTGTGAGGTTGTTGTGTGTTGTTGTTGTGAGGTTGTTGTGTTGTTGTTGTTGTGTTGTTGTTGTGTTGTTGTTGTTGTGTGTTGTTGTTGTGTTGTTGTGTTGTGTTGTGTTGTTGTGTGTTGTTGTGTGTTGTTGTGTGTTGTGTGTTGTGTTGAGGTTGTTGTGTTGTTTTGTGTTGTGTTGTTGTTGTTGTTGTGTTGTGTGTGTTGTAGTTGTGTTGTAGTTGTGTGTTGTTGTTGTGTGTTGTTGTTGTTGTGAGGTTGTTGTGTGTTGTTGTTGTGTGTTGTTGTGAGTGTTGTTGTTGTTGTGTTGTGTTGTGTGTTGTAGTTGTGTGTTGTTGTGTGTTGTTGTTGTTGTGAGGTTGTTGTGTGTTGTTGTTGTGTGTTGTTGTGAGGTTGTTGTGTTGTAGTTGTGTGTTGTAGTTGTGTGTGTTGTGTTGTTGTTGTGTGTTGTTGTGTGTTGTTGTTGTGTTGTTGTGTTGTTGTGTGTTGTTGTGTGTGTTGTTGTTGTGTTGTTGTGTGTTGTTGTGTGTTGTGTTGTGTGTGTGTTGTGTGTTGTTGTGTGTTGTTGTGTTGTTGTTGTTGTTGTGTGTTGTTGTGTGTTGTGTGTGTTGTTTTGTTGTGTTGTGTGTTGTAGTTGTGTTGTAGTTGTGTGTTGTAGTTGTGTGTTGTTGTGTGTTGTTGTGAGGTTGTTGTGTGTTGTTGTGAGGTTGTTGTGTTGTTGTTGTGTTGTAGTTGTGTGTAGTTGTTGTGTTGTTGTGTGTTGTGTGTGTTGTTGTTGTGAGGTTGTTGTGTGTTGTTGTGTGTTGTTGTTGTGTTGTTGTTGTGTTGTAGTTGTGTGTTGTTGTGTGTTGTTGTTGTTGTGTTGTGTGAGTGTTGTTGTGTGTTGTTGTGAGGTGTTGTGTGTTGTGTGTGTTGTGTTGTGTTGTGTTGTTGTTGTTGTTGTGTTGTGTTGTGTTGTGTGTGTTGTTGTGTGTTGTTGTGTGTTGTTGTGATGTTGTTGTTGTGTGTGTTTGTTGTGTGTTGTTGTTGTGTTGTGTTGTTGTGTGTGTTGTTTGTGTGTTGTTGTGAGTTGTTGTGTTGTGTTGTTGTTGTTGTGGTTGTTGTTGTGTTGTTGTGTTGTGTGTTGTGTGTTGTAGTTGTTGTGTGTTGTTGTGTGTTGTTGTGAGGTTTGTTGTGTGTTGTTGTGTTGTTGTTGTTGTGTTGTTGTTGTGTTGTAGTTGTGTTGTAGTTGTGTGTTGTTGTGTGTTGTTGTTGTTGTTTGTGAGTGTTGTTGTGTGTTGTTGTGTGTTGTTGTTGTGTTGTTGTTGTGTTGTTGTTGTGTTGTAGTTGTGTGTTGTAGTTGTGTGTTGTTGTGTGTTGTTGTGTGTTGTTGTGTGTGTTGTTGTGTGTTGTTGTTGTGTTGTTGTTTGTGTTGTGTTTGTGTTGTTGTTGTTGTGTTTGTGTTGTGTTGTGTGTTGTAGTGTGTTGTGTGTTGTGTGTTGTGTTGTTGTTGTTGTGAGGTTGTTGTGTGTTGTTGTTGTGAGTTGTTGTTGTTGTTGTTGTTGTGTTGTAGTTGTGTGTGTTGTGTGTGTTGTGTGTTGTTGTGAGTTGTTGTTGTGTGTTGTTGTTGTGTTGTTGTTGTGTGTTTGTTGTGTGTTGTGTTGTTGTTGTTGTAGTTGTGTGTTGTAGTTGTGTTGTGTGTGTTGTTGTTGTGTGTTGTTGTGTGTTGTTGTTGTGTTGTTGTGTGATGTTGTGTGTTGTTGTGTGTGTGTTGTGTTGTGTTGTTGTGTTGTTGTGTGTTGTTGTGTTGCTGTGTTGTTGTGTTGTGTTGTTGTTGTGTTGTTGTTGTGTTGTGTGTTGTTGTGTGTTGTTGTTGTGATGTTGTTGTTGTGTGTTGTTGTTGTGTTGTTGTTGTGTTGTTGTTGTGTTGTAGTTGTGTTGTAGTTGTGTTGTGTTGTTGTTGTGTTGTGTTGTGTTGTTGTGTTGTTGTTGTGTGTTGTTGTTGTGTTGTTTGTTGTTGTGTTGTTGTTGTGTTGTTGTTGTGTTGTAGTTGTGTGTTGTAGTTGTGTGTTGTTGTGTGTTGTTGTGATTGTTGTTGTGTGTTGTGTTGTGAGTGTTGTTGTGTTGTTGTGTTTGTGTTGTGTTGTAGTTGTGTGTTGTTGTGTGTTGTTGTGAGGTTGTTGTGTGTTGTGTTTGTTGTGTTGTTGTGTTGTGTTGTGTGTGTGTGTTGTGTTGTTGTTGTTGTGTGTTGTGTTGTGTGTGTTGTGTGTTGTAGTTGTGTTGTAGTTGTGTGTTGTAGTTGTGTTGTTGTGTGTTGTTGTGTGTTGTTGTGTGTTGTTGTGATGTGTTGTTGTGTGTTGTTGTGTGTTGTTGTTGTGTTGTTGTTGTGTTGTGTAGTTGTGTGTTGTAGTGTTGTGTTGTTGTTGTGTTGTTGTTGTGTTGTGTGTGTTGTGTTGTGTGTTGTTGTTGTGTTGTTGTGTTGTGTGTGTGTTGTTGTGTTGTGTTGTGAGTTGTTGTTGTTGTTGTGTTGTTGTGTGTTGTTGTGTTGTGTGTTGTTGTTGTTGTTGTAGTGTTGTGTGTTGTTGTGTGTTGTTGTGAGTGTTGTTGTGTGTTGTTGTGTGTGTTGTTGTTGTGTTGTATGTTGTGTGTGTGTGTTGTGTGTTGTTGTGTTGTTTGTTGTGTTGTAGTTGTGTTGTAGTTGTGTGTTGTGTGTGTTGTGTTTGTGTGTTGTGTTGTGTGTTGTGTTGAGTGTTGTTGTGTGTTGTGTGTTGTTGTTGTTGTGTGTGTTGTGTGTGTTGTGTTGTGTTGTGTTGTTGTTGTGTTGTTGTTGTTGTGTGTGTAGTTGTGTTGTTGTGTTGTGTGTTGTAGTTGTGTGTTGTAGTGTGTGTTGTGTTGTTGTTGTGTTGTTGTTGTTGTTGTGTTGTTGTTGTGTGTTGTTGTGTGTTGTTGTTGTTGTTGTTTGTTGTTGTTTGTTGTTGTGTGTGTTGTGTGTTGTTGTGTGTTGTGTTGTGTTGTTGTGTTGTTGTGTGTGTTGTGTGTTGTGTGTTGTGTGTGTGTTGTGTGTTGTGTGTGTTGTTGTTGTGTTGTGTTGTGTTGTTGTTGTTGTTGTGAGGTTGTTGTGTGTTGTTGTGTTGTTGTGTGTTGTTGTTGTGTTGTAGTTGTGTTGTAGTTGTGTGTTGTAGTTGTGTGTTGTTGTGAGGTTGTTGTGTGTTGTTGTGTGTTGTTGTGTGTTGTTGTTGTTGTGTTGTAGTTGTGTTGTAGTTGTGTGTTGTGTGCAGAGCCGGTGTGCGCCGTGGGGCAGGGGGTGGCGGCTCTGTGCTGCGTCACAGAGGGACAGACGTGGATCTTCAGTGGATACAGCCTCACAGGGGTCAGTGTTTAACACAACATCACAACCACAAGAAATCGAAAACTCTAAAACTCTAAATCTAAAACTCTAAAACTCTAAATCTAAAACTCTAAAACTCTAAATCTAAAACTCTAAAACTCTAAATCTAAAACTCTAAATCTAAAACTCTAAATCTAAAACTCTAAAACTCTAAATCTAAAACTCTAAAACTCTAAAACTCTAAAACTCTAAATCTAAAACTCTAAAACTCTAAATCTAAAACTCTAAATCTAAAACTCTAAAACTCTAAATCTAAAACTCTAAAACTCTAAAACTCTAAAACTCTAAATCTAAAACTCTAAAACTCTAAATCTAAAACTCTAAATCTAAAACTCTAAAACTCTAAATCTAAAACTCTAAAACTCTAAATCTAAAACTCTAAATCTAAAACTCTAAAACTCTAAAACTCTAAAACTCTAAATCTAAAACTCTAAATCTGATCGAAACACCTGTCAAAAACTTTACACACTTCAGCACGTGGAAGCTCAAGTGTGGAGCTGTTCTTTTGAATTTTGAATTCAATATTTAATTTAAAGTTTATTTCAAAAAACACCAATAAAAAAACAGTCTTGTGTTTATTTTAATGTTGACTTTTGATTTTCTGGTTTATTTGAAGTTTTTCTGCTGAAGGACGAACCTGAAAAATCGTTGCAGTTTTGTGACAAACATGTTTCTTCTTTTACAGCGACGTGTTTAGTTTATCGTTTTAGAAAGTCAATGTTGATCCACGACGAGAAACAGAAGCAGAGAAACTTTGTTCAGTCGACTCCACAGAACTAGAATAAAAATATTTTTTATTATAAATTTGTGTTCACACTGAATTCACAGGCGACGCTGAAAAGAGGAACTTCAAATAAATTGAAAATTTTATTGGTGTTTTTTGAAATAAACTTTTAATTAAATATTGGAAATAGAGGTGGAAAATCAGTTTTTTTTTTGTTTGACACAAAAACAGAAAAATGAAATAAACTGTTTTAACATTTTATTGTTTTTTTTCTTAATTGAAATTCAAAATGAATATTTCACAGACTGAGCTGGAACTGTATATTTTGGGCTCCGTATTTATTGTGTTTGCATTTTCTTTGTATTAAGGAGGTTTTGAAGGAAGATTTGAGCTGTAGAGGGGAAAATACATGACTTCAATGACTAATTCTTGCTTCACTCTGCTGTTTATTTGTTGATTCAGTTGTTTTGTTTCAGTGTCTTAAAGTCGTTTGAGTTTTATTTTTCATCACGGTTTTTCTCTGTAGTGAAATATTGTACTTCAACATTTGTGTTTTCACGACAGGTTTCATAGTTTTTTGTCTCTCCAGACTCGGTCTGGTTGTGTTTTCATGAAGATAGAAAGATTTAATGCCACACTGTGGAACATTCCAGACAAAGTAACAGATGCAGCCAAGTTAGAGATCAGATCTGTGGAGAGGCGACTCCGCTCACAGTCACTGTTTGTTTTTCTAGAGATTTTTAAGCTTTAAAACCTCCTGTGGTTGAATAAATGTAAAGTTTTAAATGTTTAAAGTCACACTGTGGAACATTCCAGGCAGAGCAGTGACGTCTCCATAGAAACAAACAGGTGACGGACCCACAACCAAAAAGTTACACAGTGCAGCTTTAAAAAACACAAATGACCTAAGTCGTCTTAAAACCTTGAAAATGTGTTTGAGGGTTTAGTTTTGAGATTGGAGTCGTTCAGACTCGGGGACGTAAACTGCCGAGCGACGTCGTGTTTAACTCGTCTCGTCTGTTTTTTGAAGCCGTCCGTCTTCGAGCTCGTGAGGAAGCCTGATTTCGCCGACCTGCCGCTGATCGTGGAAGACTTCGTGAAGGACAGCGGAGGATCTTACACAGGTGAGAATCGACTAACAGCGTCCACGGGCGTCCGGTCACTTTGTACTGATGCTTACATTATTTTATTCTCATTGGGTTTTATTTTGTACGATCATAAATGAAAAAAAAAAACAAAAAACTGGCATCTTTAAAAAACTGAAGAAAAAAACTAATAAATAATAAAAACGTGTTGGAGGTGATTGTGTGAAATGACCTGATGATGATTTTAAAAAGTCTCACTCTGTAGAAGCTTTAAAAAACAGAATAAAGTGTTTTAAGTGTTTTAAAGATCTTGAGATCTGGAATGAATGAATTATGCGTTAAATTTGTTTGTTTTAATGGGTATTTTGTCTCTTATATTTACACTGAGTCATGAATGAAATTATAAACTCAAACTTTCTGTTCAGACGCTGATTTTCTTTCTTGAATTCTGTCGTTGTTTAACAGAGTTTTGTGTTTGAAGAACTTTGACTTCAGATTAAACTCTTTCACTCATGATCCACCAGGCTGGAGTCTGTGATTTGTTTTGTTTTGTTTTGCTGCAAAATGAACAAATAAACTAAAACTCCTCCTATACTTTGCAACATATTCTACCATAGAGATCCATGTAGAACAGCCCCGGTGTGATGTCACTGCAAAACATCAAATGACCACACTGCAAATGTCTCCGATCTGACCGAGATTTTAAAACTTATATCAGCTTCTTTATCTTGTTTTCAGATTTATTTTCTACTTGTTCTGAGATGTTTTATTCTCCTTTATTTTCAGAGAACTTCTCCAGTAAAATCATCTTCTGCATGGACACATCATTTCAACACTTTTAAGTCATTTTCTGATAGATTAAAGTGTTTATGTTTTATATTTTGGCCCAAGTTTTTGCAGTGTAAAATCCTTCTTCTCACATACAAATCTTTTCACAGTCATGAAGTTTCCTCACATGTCCAGTCTCCTCCACCCTTCCACTCCATCCCTCTTTCTCTCTTTCCCTCCTGTCCATCGTCCATCTGTAGATCCTTCTTCTCTATCATAACTTTTCACACAATGTTTAGAAACCGATGAAGATTTTATTTGTAGTGTTTTATTTTTGTGGTGTTTTCAGGTTGAGTCGTTCTCTCCCAAACAGAATCATTTTGTGTCTTGAATCTGCTGCTCAAACTCACCCAAGACTGAAGCTTCAACAACATCTGGAAAAACTTCAACCACTGGAAACAAATTTGAACTTGGAACCAAAACTGTGCAGAGGAAGAATCTGAAACGCCAAACTCGAGGAATCTCCAAACTTGTTCTCCCAGATCCTTTAGTCCTGCAGAAGATCCTTCCTCGGCACATTTTTGGTCCCAAGTCCAAATTTGTTTTTCTGAATGTTGTGTTGAAGCTTCAGTCTTGGTGAGTTTGAGCAGCAGATTCAAGACACTAAATGATTCTGTTTGGGAGAGAACGACTGGACCAGAAAACACAACAAAACTCATTAAATCCACCCGATTGTGTTTGTGTGTCTTTATAGTTTTACTCCCTGTGGATCATTTCTGTTCTAATCGTGACTTTTTAAATCTTAATATTTATCTGAAACGAGTTCATGAAGAAACAAGTGTGTTGATTTCAGCGTTAGAAAACCGTGGAGTCCAGTGGAGCTGATGTCGCCGTGAACGTGAAGACAAAACCCCGCAGGCTGAGGGCGTCTTGTGACATTATTATTATATTTAAATGTTATTTTCTTGTGGTTTCAGCGAGTCAGGAGGACGCGGTGCACGTGGTCATAGACAGACACCTGATCACGGGTCAGAACGTCCAGTCCACCTCCCTGTCTGTGCACAACCTCATCCTGCTCAGCTCCAGCAAGTGAACGCAGAGAACCACCAAGGAGAACCACCAAGGAGAACCACCAACACACAGAGAACCACCAACACACGGAGAACCACCAAGGAGAACCACCAACACACAGAGAACCACCAAGGAGAACCACCAACACACAGAGAACCACCAACACACGGAGAACCACCAACACACAGAGAACCACCAACACACAGAGAACCACCAACACACGGAGAACCACCATCCCAGCCCCCTAACCCCAGGCTCTCCAGCCTTTTTCCTCGGCTGAACTCTTTTACAAAACAAAAATGCTGAGAGCTCCTAATTTTAGCAGTGGTGAGAAATTGAGAAAGTAAAGCCACGTCGAGTCTTACAGTTAGAAGATTAGAAACCAGAAACGTTTATCCATCAGTACCGCAGAAGTTACTCACCAAAATGACACATTTACACTGGAACATGAGCAGATTTGAGTCATTCAGCACATTTTGTAGAATTCAGAAATCCTTTGGTGAGTTGATTGGAAGAAGGTGGAGAGATACAAGTTGGAGACCAAATACACAGACACCACCATCACAACACACACCCTGACCCCTGACCCCAAACCCTCATCCTGACCCCAAACCCTGACCCTGACCCCAAACCCTGACCCTAAACCCTGACCCCAAACCCTCATCCTGACCCCAAACCCTGACCCTAAACCCCCTGACCCCAAACCCTCATCCTGACCCCAAACCCTGACCCTGACCCCAAACCCCAAACCTCCCTGACCCCAAACCCTGACCCAAACCCTCATCCTGACCCCAAACCCTGACCCTGACCCCAAACCCTGACCCTAAACCCTGACCCCAAACCCTCATCCTGACCCCAAACCCTGACCCTGACCCCAAACCCTCATCCTGACCCCAAACCCTGACCCTAAACCCTGACCCCAAACCCTCATCCTGACCCCAAACCCTGACCCTAAACCCTGACCCCAAACCCTCATCCTGACCCCAAACCCTGACCCTGACCCCAAACCCTGACCCTGACCCCAAACCCTCATCCTGACCCCAAACCCCAAACCCTGACCCTAAACCCTGACCCCAAACCCTCATCCTGACCCCAAACCCTGACCCTAAACCCTGACCCCAAACCCTCATCCTGACCCCCAAACCCTCATCCTGACCCCAAACCCTCATCCTGACCCCAAACCCTGACCCTGACCCCAAACCCTCATCCTGACCCCAAACCCTGACCCCAAACCCTCATCCTGACCCCAAACCCTGACCCTGACCCCAAACCCTCATCCTGACCCCAAACCCTGACCCTAAACCCTGACCCCAAACCCTTATCCTGACCCCAAACCCTGACCCTGACCCCAAACCCTGACCCTGACCCCAAACCCTCATCCTGACCCCAAACCCCAAACCCTGACCCTAAACCCCTGACCCCGTGGACAGAAACACCAGGAGAAGAGTCTGATCCACTGGAAAACATTCCTTTATTGAAGAAAAGGTGATCTGGGGCTTTTCAAAAATATCTTAAGTTTTTACAACGGACACTAGAGCTGCACGAAAACTCAGACTGACTCCAAACTCAACACTGATTCTGATCCTACGATTATAATAAAAAAAAAAAAACTCTTAAATTAAATGGTAAAACTTTCTTCTCTATTCCCATGTGTCCTTAGATCTGTGGAATCCCTCACTGGTCCAGGTCTAAACCAGGTCAAAACCAGGTCTAAACCAGAACTAAACCAGGTCTAAACCAGGATTAAACCAGGTCTAAACCAGAACTAAACCAGGTCTAAACCAGAACTAAACCAGGTCTAAACCAGAACTAAACCAGGTCCGTGTGTCTGTGTTCTTGTTCTGATGCAGCTCCAGGTCATTTTAAACACGTTCAGCAAAGGTTCATTTCTTTAGTATCGATCAGGCTCAGATGTCGACAGTCCCGGCGCCCGGACTCATCACGACGTCGTCCTTCTCTTCTGTTATTGTCCGTTTATAAATGTTTAATGTTCTTGTGTAGAACCGGACTCGTCCTCTTCACCGTCGTTATGATTGAAAACTAAGAAAAACTTGTACCTGTGTTTTAATGTTGATGATCTGAAAAGGACCAATGTTTCTAAATGTCAATAAAAGATGCTCTGGAATATCTGTGGTTTTCCAAAAGATGAAACATGAGCAGTTAATTAATTTCACTTTCAGAAGAAGAAATGCAAAAAACATCCAAACGTCACTTTAATCTTTAACAACTCCACGACTGAAACGATCCAGATGATTCTAGTGACGGTGTGTGGAGTTTAAAAACACAGTGGAGCACTTCCTGTATTACCACATGATGACATCACAAGGTGGAACAGAGTGTTTTCAGTTTGAGGGTTTGTGTGTTAAACATGTGAATGAAACAAAACACGACTCCAGTTTGTCTGAGCGACGAGGAAACCACAGCAGAACAGAACAGTCGAGTCATGTGGGTCTTTAATAATCCAAACCAAAACAGTTTGTATTTTGAAAAGTCCTCAAAATGGCGCCTACAAACAGGAAACACACAGACGCTCTATAGAAGATCATAGAAATAGTCCAGTCCTTGTCCGAGCTCCCACAGCGAGACGCCAGTGCCCAGTTCAGCCGCCAACGAAATCCTCATGAAGACGGACTGAAGGAAACGGAAAAACACGTCAGATAAATGTAGAATATAACATTTATTATTATAAATAATATTTATTTAAACCTTTAATGTGGGATAATAAACCACGTGTTTCCCTGCGCTGTTTCTGCAAAACACACAAACGTTAAAACTCGGAGCAGTGTCCGTTTGTCTTCACGCTCCAGGACACGTTTACCTTTTGTACGTAAAATAATGTTCTGCTGCGTTTTCGTCCCAGAGGAGTTTGGGTCGATGTTCTCGGAGGAGCTCGATGAACCTGAGACAGAAACGTCACAGCGATTGGGACAAAAGATCCTCCAGATGGAAAAACCCGCCCCTCACCCGACCCGCCGCCCCCTCACCCGCCCCCCCCCCCCCTCACCCGCCCCCCCCCTCCCCCCACCCCCGCCCCCTCACCGCCCCCCTCACCCGCCCCCCTCACCCGCCCCCTCACCCGTCCCCCTCACCTGTCCCCGTCCCTCTCACCCGCCCCCCTCACCCGCCCCCTCACCCGCCCCCTCACCCGCCCCCCTCACCCGTCCCCGCCCCCTCACCGCCCCCTCACCCGCCCCCCTCTCACCCGCCCCCCTCACCTGTCCCCGTCCCTCTCACCCGCCCCCTCTCACCCGCCCCTCTCACCCGCCCCCCTCACCTGTCCCCGTCCCTCTCACCCGCCCCCCTCACCTGTCCCCCTCACCCTGTCCCCGTCCCTCTCACCCGCCCCCTCACCCGCCCCCCTCACCCGTCCCCCTCACCCGTCCCCCCTCACCCGCCCCCCTCACCTGTCCCCGTCCCTCTCACCCGCCCCCCTCACCTGTCCCCCTCACCTGTCCCCGTCCCCGCCCCCTCCCCCCTCACCCGCCCCCTCACCTGTCCCCGCCCCCTCACCCGCCCCCCTCTCACCCGCCCCCCTCACCTGTCCCCGTCCCTCTCACCCGCCCCCCTCACCTGTCCCCCTCACCTGTCCCCGCCCCCTCACCCGCCCCTCTCACCCGCCCCCCCTCACCCGCCCCTCTCACCCGCCCCCCTCACCTGTCCCCGAGGATGGGGTCTGCTCCCTGGGCGCTGAAGTCGAGTCCGTACAGACTGAGTCCCAGGAGGATCTTGTGTCTCCACTGGGGGGACGGGGCGAGCTGCAGGACACAGTCTCTGACCCAGGGCAGGGGCGCGCTCGGCCCGGACCTGTCAGGAGACAGGTGCACCTGTCAGAACCACGTTTACACGCGTGGACCAAACCGACACACTTCACTCTGGTTTTTATGTTTTTTTTTCATTCTAAACATTTTGTGACACAAATATTTTCATTCATTTGTGAAGCTTTAATTCAGTTTCATAAAAATATAAAAGTGTTTTTTATATTAGTAAAAGCAGCTTCAAAAAGCAGAAGACGAGCGGGTGATGGACACCAGAAAAACTCCAGAGTGCATCTTTAATTTTAAGGCTTTTTCACACCAAGACGATCGTCTCCAGAACAAACGGGGTTGGGCGGGTTCTGGAACGTGAACTGAAGCGGGACCTGCCCGCAGACCAGCGCCCAGAGGACCTCCAGCCACCCACTCTGTCAGGAGCACTCTGATTGGCTCTGGGGCGTCGGGGAGCTCCCTGATTGGCTCTGGGGCGTCGGGGAGCTCCCTGATTGGCTCTGGGGCGTCGGGGAGCTCCCTGATTGGTCGTGTTCTGCGTAGATTTGAGGCAGGACTGTAAATGATTAAAAACACAAACCCTGTTTGTTTCATGACAGATCTGAGTCTGAGCTGGACCAGACTCTTGGAGAACACACTTTGTTGTTTTTTTTTCCTCCAGCGTCGGCTCCACAGTCACAGTTTAATCTGTGTCATGTCTGAGTCGGGTTTAAACTTCAGGTCATGACTCGTGTGAAAGCAGAGACAGAGACACGGAGCTGCAGAGCTGCAGAGCTGCAGGGGCGAGAGGACAAAGTTCAGCGTGAAGCAAACAGAGACACTGGGACACAGCGACAGCGTCGGCGGCAGAAGCTCCAGGCCCTTCGCCCTGCGGGGGCTCGGGACCCCGCGGGGGGGGGGGGGTGACCTGATGGGGGGCTGAGAGTCGGACTCCTCTGGGCTCTGGGAGTCAGGTCCTCTGGGCGGGGGTCTGGTAGTCGGCGGAAGACACTGGTCGTGTCCCCTGGGCGGGGGACACTGGTCTTGTCCCCTGGGCGGGGGACACTGGTCGTGTCCCCTGGGCGGGGGACACTGGTTTTGTCCTCTGGGGGGACACTGGTGGATCCACATTCTGGTGGCAGGTTTGATTTTGTACCTGGAGCTGCTGTAGTCGTACGTCATGAGGCTGAAACCGTCAACGACCGGAGCCAACGCCTCAAACTCCTCCGGACCAAACATCCCCGGCTGCCCCGAGCTGAAACACACACACACACACACACACACACACACATAAAACACACACACACACACAAACACACATAAAACACACACATACACAAACACACACACAAAACAAACACATAAACAAAGACACAAACATTCACCATAGAACTAAATAAATATGAGTGTGACAGGAGAGATGCAGCGACAGGACGTTCAAGTTTCTCTTTACAGGTTAAACCTTCTACGTTCTCGTGTTCTGTAACAGTCGCACATTCTCTTTGACGTCTGCAGTTTTGACTGAACCTTCCCTGAGTCTTTTACTTTTATTTTTACCTGCTCTCTGAGTTTATCAGATTAACGGCGAATGGCACAAAAGAAAGTCTGAATCTTCAGTTTACAGTTGGAGACCCTGAACCTTCTGCCTGACGACATCAACCTGAAGAACACGGGTCGGGTCCCTGGGCTCCTTCCTGCTCAACTTCCAAAAACTCTCCTCAAAAAATCTGAAGTGACCCAGAGACCAGGGCCAAGATCTGACCTGTTCTTTTACTCAACGTCAAAATCTGTGATCTGAGTTTGACTGAGTGAACAGAGAAGTGAGGACCTAAGTGGTCTTCACAAGGCACCAAAACCACAACGACATAAACATAAAACTCATTCAAACACAAACTGTAAAACCTCAGCATAAAAGTGTGACAGGTTCAGACAGAGCAGTGTGTCGGGTTAGCGGCAGGATGAGCACACACACACACACACACACACAATACACATACACACACGCGCGCGCGCGCACACACACACAATACACATACACACACACACACACACACAATACACATTATACACGCGTGCGCACACGCACGCACACACACGCGCGCACACATGTGCACACACACACACAATACACATACACACGCGCGCGCACACACACATTATACACGCGCACGCACACACGCAGACACACACACGCGCGCACACACACAATACACATTATACACACACACACAATACACATACACACGCGCACACACACAATACACATTGTACACGCACGCGCGCACACACACGCACACGCACACACACGTGCGTACACACACACGCACACACACACACATACACACACGTGGGTTTTTACCTGGTGATGGACGGAGGGATGACCAGGAGACAGTCCAGTCTCTTCGCTTTTAACATCTCACACACGTGTTTGATCAGGTGAACCAGCTCCCTGTCACACACACACACACAACACACACACACAACACACAGAAAACACACACAACACACACACACACAACACACACAAAACACAGTCAGAGTCACAGTAAAGACTTTTCTCTTATATTTGCGAATAATTGGGGAATAATCGTGGGGAATAATCGGGGGAATAATCGGGGGAATAATCGTGGGGAATAATGGGGAATAATCGGGGGAATAATCGGGGGAATAATGGGGAATAATCGGGGGGAATAATCGTTGGGAATAATCGTGGGGAATAATCGTGGGGAATAATCGGTTCTCACTTGCGTTTGTTTCCTCCCAGTTGACTCCAGAGCTCCAGAGTAAAACCATCGAAGCCTTCGGTCTGAAAAAGAGAAAAAACACAACATTTATTGTTTATTATTTAGATGTTTGGACAAAGTTAAACCAGAGACTGTGTAAAGACGTGACGTCGCCACAGAGTCCAGCTCCAGTCAAATGAAGCTCACTGAGGCCTGCGGTGTTAGGAAGGAGTTAGGAATTTAATTACGGACAAAATAGTGAAATAACACTCCAGGATCATGTAGAGACGATTCATCTGAACATTTAAAGCCCAGAGTGAAGAGCCTGAAGCAGCAGGTGCAGGGTTCAGATGAACACAAACTGAACTGGAGCCAGAGTCGATGGAGCCGAAGTGTGTCCGTGTTCACTTCCTGTTTGGAACGCTGAGGCTGCAGGGGGAGTTACATCTATTTATATAAACACAGAGTTATCGGAGCAGTTGTACAGTTGTAGGGAGTATTATCCCTGACATAAGGGTGAGTTGTTGTACAGTTGTAGGGAGTATTATCCGTTACCTTGGCGACGTCGACCAGTTCAGACGCCAGCTCTTCGATCTCGTCTTCGCTGCCCAAAACGCTCATGTAATCCTCATACGACCAACCGTCCAACAGAACCCGAGGAACTGGAACCAGAACCAGAACCACAAAGATCATTATACAACACGGAGACGATACTGCTCTGTCCGGAATGTTCCACAGTACGGCTTTAGACCTTTATATCTCCATGGAGACCAAACCAGACCAAGCTACAGGCCAGCATGTCTGCCAGACTTAGTCCAGGTCCAGTCCCAGGTCCAGTCCAGGATTAGTCCCAGGTCCAGTCCCAGGTCCAGTCCAGTTACTGCTTTGTCTGAAATGTTCCAGTGTGGCATTAGACCTTTCTATCTTCATAGAGACCAAACCAGACGGTGTTCCAGGTCAGATCTGTGGAGAGGCGACCCCGCTCACAGACAGAAGGTCTGTTTATTTTATTTTTTGAGTCATAAAATCTCCTGTAACTGAATAAATGTAAAGTTTTAAATGTTTAAAGTCACTGTGGAACATTCCGGGCAGAACATTGACGTCTCCATAGAAACAAATAATATCCACAGAGTTTAGATGAACGAGTGGAACAGTCGGAGTTTTGTGGCTGTTTGATTAAAGCGCAGGTGTTTGTGTGAAAGAAGATTAAAAAAAAAACAGTTTACAGAGAAGTTCTAGTTCTACAAACTCCCCCAGAAACTCCTGAACCTCCAGAACCTCCAGAATCTCCTGAACCTCCTGAACCTCCTGAACCTCCAGAACCTCCTGAACCTCCTGAACCTCCTGAACCTCCTGAACCTCCTGAACCTCCTGAACCTCCTGAACCTCCTGAACCTCCTGAACCTCCTGAACCTCCTGAACCTCCTGAACCTCCTGAACCTCCAGAACCTCCTGAACCTCCAGAACCTCCAGAACCTCCTGAACTTCCTGAACCTCCTGAACCTCCTGAACCTCCTGAACCTCCTGAACCTCCTGAACCTACAGAGGAACACTGAAATGAAAAATTTTAAAAACGACTTTTTTTCCACCGACACAAAACAGGAAAATCTGAGTGAACATTTTTAAATAAAAAGTGTTATAAAAAGTCTGGAGCTGCAACAGATAAAAGTCAAACTGAGCTGATAATATTAGTCATAGACGTCATGTACTTTCCCCTCTACAGC